GGTCACCACCCATCTTGAGGAGTTTGCCCCCTCACATATACTAATGTGCCACAAACAGGACTTTAATATCACCAACCATTCCCATGTTATTACACTGTATCCATATAAATGACCCACCCTGTAGAAGGAAAGTGGAAGACAATAGATGATGAAGTACTGAGAGCACTCTTCTCACCCACAGACTGTCTGTTATAGCAGTCACAGTCTATAAATGATATTCAGGTTTTTGATAACACAGCTGATGTACACAAAAAGAAAATAGCAAAGTCAAATATTTATGTGTTGAAACCAAAACGATGGTATTTAATGTGCTCATTTCAAATGTGTTTAATGTTTCCACTATAGACATTTTCAGCAGTGACTATCTATTTCTTTCTGAGTTTGGTTTAGATATTCAGGTTAAAAAGCAATCTGAATGATTCTTAATGAAGTGTTGTTCACGTGTGCAGTACTCTGAGCGTCTTACACCTTTTGAGAATAATATGAAGAATGAATATATGTTTTTCATTGCCGAGGCAGCCCATTAAAGTTGTGTTGTTTGTGTTTTAAATCAGGACTGAAAGCCTGCGCCATCATCTTATCTTTGTAGATAACTTTTTAAAAAGGTAAAATATTATACTGGATAATCTATTAATATGTAAAGCTCTGTTTCAGCTTTGAGGCATAAACATCAACATTTAATCATCAAGTTAATACAAAACAATACATGTTTTGTATGTATTGCCTGATATCACACGAATTGTCACATAAAACTAAACAGAAGTTGTCAGCTGAGCTCTGCACAGTGGGAAATCACAGTGAAGCTTTTCACTTCAAGTTGTAGATTTAAGCTGCTCTTCATGCTTCGGCCACCAGATGCTGTAAAAGAGGAGCGAGGAGCGAGAGCATGAAATTTAACTTGCTGTCATTCACACATACAATCTTCTCCAGTGTAGTACGGACTGCACCTCAACACAACAGCATGGTCATTTTCAAAAGCAATAGTTGGAGGGCCATCTGGTGGGATCGACATACTTCGACATACTGCTCCTCTCAGATTGATATTTCATGGTTTTAAATGAGCTCAAGACTCGAGCAAACCTCATCTCTCCACACAACAGAGCAATGACAGAGACAACATGCCAGATGCAAACATCACCCACATGAGGTTTGCAGAATACTGAAATGAAGGTAGGAGTCTGAACCATCTTCTAACAGCTGCACTGAGCAGTTAAATCTAATTATAAATTTACTAAATGCATTTATAAATATATACATCTAAATGTATTAATGAAATATATTTCATATTTAGTGGTCATAATGAAAATAGAATCAGAATTTAGTCATATTAATCATACTACACATTATCGTTGTTGTTCTTATTCACTTCACTGGACAGATATTCACAGAGGGGTGGGACTTAACTGTCTTCTCCAATAGGAAATGTGATCTGACTTATTAAGCCAATCAGATCACAGTTTGAGGAAAATGACTGACATTATGTAGTTTTTCTTCAGGGTTATTTTCTGTTTATTTTTTTCAATTTCTCTGTTAAGAAATCAAGAATAGAAAAATAAAGTCGTGTATAGGAAGCAGTTTGGACCTTTGTAAGAAGGAAGCTCAGTCGTGTGTTGGTTGGGCCGAGCGGTATTGTGAGGCAGCGCCTGTGCAGATGAATGGAGATCCAGGAATGTGTATATCAGGAGTAACTGCTGGAGCTGTTCCTCAGTGAGTTCCTCTCAGCTAGCATGGCCAACCAGCCTTATTGCCCTGTTGTTTGTTAGCATTGTTGGCATAGCGGTCTCTAGTTTCCTTTGCTGATATGTGAACTTGACTTTACATTTGCTGCTGTTATAATTGTTTTAAACCTTTGTTTTTGATGGTAGGTATAAAATCTTCCCGAGTGTCTCTTTCTTTACATATTTCTACAGAGTTCACTGCGTGCATTAATATATGTAACATTAAAGTACTAGATTAATGGACAGGTTACATAAATGAACTATTTCTCCCACTTCAGTTCACACCTCTATTGTTACATACTATTTACAAATTAATTTCTCACATTTCCCGGGATGTAGGGTGGCCATGGATCAGGTATCAGAGCAATTCATCTACCAATCAGATGGTCAGTGGAACAATCTCCAGCTCCTTCTGTGGAAGTATCAACTATCCTTAGACAAGATACTGTTGCTCCCAGTGCATCCATCAGAGATAAAAGTACTTAGGTATAGATTTAAAAAACTGTGTGAATGTGTGCGATTGGGTGAATAAGCCTTACAGCAGAATGTGCTTCAAGTGCTCAAACTGAGTGGAAAACACTTCTTAAATACCAGTCCAGTTACCCGCCTATACTAATGTTTCATTCTGAATAAATGTTCCATGTCCTGTCCAAAATATAAACTGGCTTCAGCATGGCTTTCCCACCCTTGAGTTGCCAGGAATTACTGTACCATGAAATCATTAAGGGTAGTAAAGGCAGCCCTGAAGAAATGAGGTTAGCAGGGATGGAAAAACGCGCTGGGAAGAAATGGTCAGGTCAGCATTCCAA